TTTTTTTAATAACAAATTTTGCTTCTGTTCGGGTTTGCAGGTGACGGCATTTGACGAGACGCCTTGACACGAATCTATGAGGTTTTGCTAAAACAATACAAAATAAGTAGAAGATAGGAAGTGTAAAGCCATTGTAAATACAACTTTTCTAAGAATAATGTTTTTCTCCATATGTTGATAATGTCAAAGCATAAAGTAACATTTGTTGATATGTATCATTATACTATTTTCTTAGAACCCAAATTGCATCTTAAGAAGTTCTTAGCCACGGCTAATGAACGATAGCAGTCTCGTCGTGTTCATTGTCATACATATTAAACAACAATAAACATGGAAAAAAGTACGTGCGTTTAAGATTCTCATTTAGTCGTTCTTTGGCGATGTGAGCTCCTTCTTGAACTTTCCGAAATGTGTCAGCAATGCATTGTTGTCCGGAAGATTTTCCTTGATCGCATGTTCTTGTTTGAAATCTATGGACCATCGATGCAGTTTGGGCAGAGTGGTTGGTTCGAAAACGCGCAAGCCCACGAATTCTTGCATGAGTTCAAACCAATGGACGAGCCACCCGAAGTTCAAGTCCACCACTCCAATTTTTTCGCCACCGAAGAATTTCTTCTCTCCCAGAGACTGGTCTTGAATGATTTTGAGTGTCTCGAACACTTCTTTTGCTGCCTTTTTTATGTTCTCGTCAGTGGACAGGAAGAACGCGAAAAACGTCATGCGCTGCAGAACGAAAATCACTTTTACGGTTAGGGTGTTGAAACTTGAAACCGAAGCTAGTTAGCTATATATGATGTCCAAATAAACATTTTTTTAGGCCGAAAAAAGACGTCGAAACGCAATTGCTTAGAAAACCTCTTATTTTTTAAAATCAACTCAACCATTGTGAATTTGTGATTGAACTATGGCATGATGAAAGTATGGGTTGCTCGTTCGGTCAAAACCGAATCGAAATTTAGGGTTTATATCCATTATAAAAATTGAAAACTGAACCGAAATTTATGGTTGGATTTAGTTTTTAACCGAAATTTTAGTGGTTAGTTTGGTTCGGTTATCGGTTAATCACAATAACCTCTGAATATTTAACCGAACCAAAAATTGATTATTTGTCCAAAAAAAAAAATAAAAATAAAAAATTATCACCTTGTTTATTTTCCAATAAATTCCAAATTCTTCTTAGAGGTAGATCTCGGGCCCGAACCATAAATTGGACTATGACGAAACAAATCTTAAGTGCAAATTTTAATTCTTGAGCTATTTTAAGAGTTATTGAAGCTCAAAATTTAGTAAATTAATGCATTTATAACTTATATGCATAAATAAATTATATATATATATAAATTAGTTGTCGGTTTGGTTTTGTTGACCGATCACCATTATCCAAACCGCACCGAAAACTATTTAAAATACAAACCAGAAACCGAAAAAAATATTCAGTTTTGGTTCAGGTTCAAACCGAATTTTTGGTTTCGATAAGTTCGTCTCGGTTAATCAATTTTGTGCACCCCGTAAAATATACTACAATTCAACCAAAAAAATTGTTTCGATACTTTTCTTCCCCCGCAAATATGCTACTTTGTGTCCTGATCTTGAGCAAAAACTCTTATAAAAAACAACAATCGAAACATGAATTTGTAAAACACACAGTTTCGACCAAAACTGTATTACTTACCTTTTGTTGGATAAAACCAATCCAAAAACGCGCCATGGCTCTCTCGTAAGGATCCTCCGGAAATAAAGCGGGCCCACGATCGGGCCAGGCCTCCTCAATGTACTCGAGTATCACATCCGACTCGGCCACCGGCCGGCCACCGTGGACTAGAACTGGCACCTGCTTGTGAACCGGGTTGTACTCCAAAAGAGAAGGGCTCTTATTGGAGAGGTTCTCTTCAATGTACTCATACTCTATATTCTTCAGCTTGAGTGCCCATATCACCTTGAGTGCATAAGGGCTGGCCCAAAAGCCATATAGCTTTACTTGAGATTCTTCCATAGATGATATTTATGCACTATTGCTCTTTTTTTT